ATATTTAATGAGAGATTTAAGGATTTATTAAACAACCATGTACTGATGTATGGTAAATACTAACACACGTCCATTTATGATATTCAAGATGAGTAAATTGTTTTAACAATCAATATCTTTGAGAGCGTAGGCTTCCGCGGCCGGAATCAGTATTTAATTGGCTGTCCGGGTGACGCCGCGTAATGGCCTGAGGAAGATCGCAGAATGGCGACCGAAACGTCGACACCTTTGCCATGGACGTGGCGCCACCCAGACAGCCAATTAAATAAATCAATATCTTTGTTTTTTCAAACCTCAGTGAACACAAGTTATTGAGACTTTTTCTCGTTATTTCATTGTGACTTTCAATATAATTAATTGCTTGATTCAGTGATATTTATGATCTTTCATCTCCAATACACACCACAATACAATGTTCGGCGAATGATATGACGAATTATAATATTGATAGTTGATGAATTGAATCATGATATGTTTGTAGAACAATCGTATCAAGGAGTAAGGATCAAATTGTCTCGGAAGTTATTTCGTCAGAAAATATAAGATATTAGTATCGCAATGGCATGATTTAGAAGCTTTTTCCCCACAACGCCGTGGGTCATTCGTGGAGTTAAAGAAGCAATATTGATATTAAAATTATTATTTTTACTGATTGTTCCATTAAGCATAACGAAATTAATGGCTTGCGTGAAGCTCTATTCGGATTAGGCTGGCAGATCAATCTAATTTATCATCAAAGTTATTGAAATTATTTTACGGATAAAAATTACCATGATAAGAAGCTCACTAATTTACAGATAAACTTCATATCATATGAGTTTTGACACATTTTTGTTGAAGTCGCGTTGCTTTATTTACTTTTGAAAGAAAATGAGACCATCAAATTGGTGTTTGGGAGTCCCCCCTGCGGCAGAAGGAGACTGTTGGTCATTCAATGGACATAACGAGTATTTTCGTCTGGTGAGCCGATGGAATCGCGAGGGCATCTGTCGGTCGGCGCAATGCCTCCGAAGCGTCTGCTGTTCGTCACGCATCGTCGCACCGCGCCGGCCGCGCGCCGCGCGCCTGTCGCCTCGCGCGCACCCCTGACGCGTGACGTAAAGACGCGCTCCCACGTGCTGGGCGCGCGCCGAACTTGACACTGCCAGCAGCCTGATGTGTTATTCACCTCGCGGCGCCGTCGCCGCCCGCCGCCTCCCCGCCCGCCCTCGCCTTCGCCTTCGCCGCCGTTACCTCACTGGCGGCGGCGGCGGCGGCGGCATGCGCACCGCTTCGCAGCGGTCGACAGCAAAGCAGTTGCTCCGGCAACTCGTAGAGGCGCCGGTTCGCTTCTTCGATTTTTAATTGTTTAGTGATTCCGGGTACGTCAACTAACAGGGTCATTAGTCCCAAAAGTGTAATGTATGTTTTTTGCTCGGGAGTTGGTTTCCCCACGTTGTATGGTGAGATCCGGTGCCGACCTAACGTCGACTAGAGGGGTTTTCCCCGACCAGGTATCTCCCACCAACTGGGTACTGCCTCAGCCGGGACAAGCTCTCAGCGCCTGACGGGTCTCCTAGAATGTGTGGCAGTGTAGTGCGGTTTAATGTAAGTGTGTGTGTGTAAGGGGTGAGGATACGACAAGGAAGAGAAAGGTGAGATCGCGCGTGGTCTGTGGCCTGGTACTATTCCGGCATTCGCCTGGTGTAGATCGGAGAAACCGCGGAAAACTACCGATCAGAGCAGTCGGCCGCTAGAATTCTCCTCTAGACAGCGACTGAAGTCGACCTAGCTAACAAGCTAGTGTCGAAAATCCTGCCACTGTCGGGACTGGAACCTACAACCTCTCGGTCAGAGGCCCTGCTGAGACGTCAGATCATGCCTGAGACATCTCTTCCGGTTTCGCACCTTCGAAATGTTCCATATCGAGAAGAGTAACATATGTGAATTATCATTATGATTGGTTTAGATTCAGAGATCATAAACTCTCAAATAATGGGTGGTCGATTCTTACGTGTTTCCGGGCGCGTCAACTGCTGTGGACGTTAGTCCCATAAGTGTAGTGTATTCTTTTTATGACGGGAGGTGGCGGTGTTCTCTCTGCGTTGGATGACGACATCCCGCGCCGACCTACACGTCGGCTACCGGGATTTCCCTTGGGTGATATTCCTAAGGTTGCCCCAACGAGCGGGGCAGCGCCTCAGCAAGCGCAAGATTCAAGTCCCCAACGGGTCTCCCTACATACGTGGTATTGTAGGGCTTGTTACTGTAAGTAGAGGCTGGAATAGGACAAGAAGAAGGACAAATCGCTAACATTCATTGGCCCGTATTTTGGTGTACTGCTCTGGAATTCACCTGGTATTGATCATAAAAACAATGGAAAAGTACCGATCAGAGCAGTCAAACGCTAGAATTCGATCCAGCTATGGAGGTAGTGTCAAAAATCCTGCCATCGCGTGGACTCGAACCGTAGGACCGAGAGGTCACAGGTTGAGGCTAAAGATTGTGCATCAAATAAGACACTACTATTCCCTCAGCGCGATAGGCGACAGTGACGGTGGCGGAGACGGTGAGGGTGAGGATGACGGTGAGGGTGACGGCGAGGGTGACGGCGAGGGTGACGGTGAGGGTGACGGTGAGGGTGACGGTGAGGGTGAC